TAAACTTTGTGTATTCTATCAAGAGGTCTGATAATGTTAGAGGAAGCAGGGGCAAAGGACAAGGGTTTTTGTTTTGCTTCTATTTTTGTTTTTAAGGAATAGATGATCCAGCTATCCCACTCCTTGGTTTATACCCAAAGGACTTAATATTTTTATACTGCACTGATGCAGCCACATTATATTCTTATATTCTCTGAGCTTTGCCTTCTTCTCATATAACTGAGAATTAAGCTGGTTTTTTAATTGTTTTACTTGTCAATGTACCTTTATTTTATTTATTTATTTATTTATATGCAGTGCTGAGAATCTAACCCTAACCCTCACACATGCTAGGCAAGCGCTCTGCCACTGAGCCACAACCCCAGCCCTGAGAATAAAGCTTTTAATTGTGAGGATAAAATGATAATATGTAAAGGGCCTAGGTATCTACAAGCATAACCCTAAGGAGCATACAACTAATTTCATCATCTTCTTGAACACTTAAATACCTAGTCTGTCTCCTAGCCCAGACTATGAACTATCTGAACCCCTACCATTTAACTCAGACCTGAGGATATGGTATATGCAGAGTCAAGACTTGTTCAGTGAATTCATTAGTCCATTTTCAGAATTCTGCCTCTATGTAAGGCACAGTACTGAGCAATCTAGAGAATAAGATGTGTCTTAAGAATGCATTACTGATTAATACAGAGGAAAAATAGTGTATAAACACATGTCACATTCATCTGGAAACAGATTTCTGAACTACCCTAGGAGTTTTTGTTTCAGAAGACCTGGGTGGGACCCATGAATTCACATTTATAAAAAGTTTCCAGATGCTTCTCATGCTACTAGACCTGGAGCATGCTCCACCATTTGCTGTGTGGCCCTATAAAAGTTACTTAACCTCTCTGTGCCTCGATTGCTATTTCTTTTCTGCTGATAAAAAATGATAGTTTTACTCGGGTGTATAATGAAGGCTAAATGTGTGTGAAAGTTACTTAACCTCTCTGTACCTCATTTGCCATCTGTTTTCTGCTAATAGGGAATGATAGTTGTACTCGGGTACATTATGGAGGCTGAATGTGCTAACATTTGTTAAAGAGGATTTTAAAAGGAAGGAAAAAAAAAACAACTAAACCAACCTTATGCCTGTTTAGTATCCTTCTATGGAGTGAACAGAAAAAAAAATGAGTGGGACTACTGGTTCCCTGGCTTAGGGTTCTGTGGTTTTATTAATGCAGCTCAAAGAAGCATGGGTATTTTTGAAAGGTTCTTCCAGGCTGTTGACTCATCTGGAGCTTAAAGTCAATTAAATCCCCTAAGCTCTTTTCACACTTGCCAAGCCAAGTCCCTATTATCCTGTTATAGTGAAATGTATATCCTTGAGCCTAAAGGCCAAACTTCATACTTACTCCCTTTATATTTGTTGATTTTGACCCATAGACCTGTTGAGGTCATATTCTAATCTTGAGTCTATCATCCAGTAGCTCTTCTTTTAGCTTTGGGGACTTCAAAGTTCACAAGCCAGGCTTCTATGTTCACATCTGAATTGTCAAGTAAAATTGTGAAATGATATAGAATGCTTCCTTATGGTTAACATCAGTCCTACTCAAAACTTTGTGGGTGGGGTTGATTACCTGGTTATGTCTAATATTATGAATCTGCCTAATATTATTACATTTCAGCTCTCAATGGCACCATAAAACTATTTTTTAAAAAAACCTGACTTCTGCAAGAATAGAGACTGTATCTATTTTTTCCGTGTACTGCATTCTCAGAACATAAAACAAAGACAGGCACAGAGAACGCTCTCAATACATATTTGTTGAATGAATGAATGAATGTGTTATCACTAGCATCATATCAGGAAATTACCTTTTATTAAAATATGCCAATAAGGGTTACCAATTTTGATTGGGGAAAGGAACTACTTTCAAGCTATCTCATTGAGGAGACACAATATCCAACTCTTGGAGCTATGAGTTCTAGCAAGCCCTGAAATTTTGGTGCATGGCTGGTAAGTGGTTTAGGATGCCTTCAAACTCTACTGGCCAGTGAATTGGAAATGACCCACAGAAGAAACGGGCCTGAGATTTTTCCATGCAAAACAGCCATGAAATCTGCTTCAAGCAGATTTCCTTCAGGCTCTGTTTTACCCAGGTTACAATAAATGGGACATCTCACCCCATTCAGGAGTGAGCCACGTGCTTTTAGCCCTGTGAATTTGGGTTGGCATCCTTGGAAAGCCATGGACACAGACATTCAGGGACTTGCTATTTCTCTAGCATCCCTCTCCTGAGGGGCTGTTGCTCGCAGCCTGTCTCCCTGCCAACAAGCTTTAAAACTCAGTAAGAGCTGGCAGGCTTTGGCTGTTGAGACTGTTATAACCCCACTTCTCCACGGGCAACTCCAGTGTTGGGGATTATTAAAAGCCTCTCTCTTGTTCAGAAATTTTCCCTATAGTCTTGTTTTCCCCTGGAAGTGGTATGATAACATGGATCACTCTGCCAGAGCCTTAGAGAAGTGATTAAGGCTCTTTGCTTTATTCCACATTGATATGTTCTGTCTTTAGCTCCCGGCTAAACAACAGCCATTCCCTCCCCTCTCTCTCCTGATATCTTCTTGCTATGAGAATTCATCTAACCTGGGCAGAGAGAGGAGCAGTCAGTGTGCTGGCCCTCCTGGGCTTTCAATCTTCTCCTTCCTCAATTCCTCTACAGAGATCTACTAATATTTGGTCATGGCACCAATTTCTTGTGTTCCTACATGGGCACATGCGTATGGGTCTGTATCCTCAGCTTGAGGGTATGGGCTATACACCCCTGACAGCATCTAGCATGATGGTTGGTATATTAATAGTTGCTCAGCAAATATTTGCCTAGCAACAGATAAAGAGAGAGACTTTTAAGCCCCCTCGGGTGGCCTGGCTTTCCCTGTGCCCCTCAGGAGACTGGAACTGGGATTTTTTTTTAAAATCATTGCAAAGTATGATATTAATTCATAGCTCATTTCCATATCAATAACCAGTTTTTTCCCTTTTATATTTTTCAGGTCAGCTAGTAGTATCTTCAGACTTCTGGAATCTTGATTGGTCATCTGCTTGTTCATGTCCTTTGCTCATCTTCGTGAACTCCAAAAGTGGTGATCATCAAGGGGTCGTATTCCTCCGAAAATTCAAGCAATACCTTAATCCGTCTCAAGTCTTTGACCTATCGAAGGGCGGACCTGAAGCAGGGTAAGCACAGGGCAAGGGATATAATTGGGTATGTAGAAGGGATTCCCTTTGTAGAGTCTGGATTAGGATAGATTCCTAGAAGTAGTCCTTGTACCTGGAGAGGAAGGATCTATTTTTCTCATATAAGTCCATAGCACTTGGGGTTGGCTGATTGGAGGGTTTTTTAACCCTCTCCTTGAGTAGTGAAATATATGTATATATAATATATATACAGGCCTGTTCTATTTTGTGACCTACAGCTGCTTAGTCCTGGTTCCTGTAAGGCCACTGGCCACTCTACCAGGCATTCTTCCTGGGCCTCAGCACAAAGCCTTGACTAGGCTACTAATGGCTTCTAGAGCAAGAGTATGACTTGAGACAAGGCTCGACCTCTGGGGATGCCTATGGGAAAGTATCTGTGGTCTTAGGTCTGCACAAAAGCAGTGTCTAAGGGAAAGAGAGCAGGTGCCTTTTATCAGGGTGCTAAAGTAGCAGTCCTTGGGCCCTCACACATGGTAGGAAACCCATATAAAACCTAGATGTTCATGAAATGACCCCATTTCCCCTCTTTCTTTTCAGGCTGTGCATGTTCAAGAACTTTGCTCGCTTTCGTGTTCTGGTCTGCGGTGGCGATGGCAGTGTGAGCTGGGTCTTATCGATGATTGATGCCTTTGGATTACATGAAAGGGTAAGTCCTTGGCTGACTTGGTTTAGCCACTCTTAGAAAGAGTAGGGATATAGAGCTGCCCACCCCTAGGCAGGTCCCTGCTCTCCCGACTCTAGTAGCTTATTTCCTGAGGCACCCCACCTAATGGGCCAAGCCCAAAGAGAAATTTGGGGCTACATTTCTCTTTTATAACCATGGCCCTGACTTTTGGCATATTCCAATAACTTTCCCCTTTACTAAATAGATTCTGTATTGCTAAGTGTGGAGTCCACCTTCTTAGAGAAAATTTCAATCACCTTCAAACATCCTCTGAATACTCTTCCTGGATTCTGAAGCCCCTTAAAACCACTGTCTTTAAGACTGTAATTATTCACAAAGAGCACCTTCTGACTACCACTATTATAATTATACAATCATACAATTATAATGTACCAATCAATAAAAATAGAATAGGGAAAAAACAGCCTGTGGGTTCTTTCATGGGGGAAGATTGGTGGAGGAGTGTCTATAAAGTATACTATCTTTTGTTCTTGCAGTGTCAGCTGGCAGTCATCCCACTTGGAACCGGCAATGATCTGGCACGTGTCCTGGGCTGGGGTGCTTTCTGGAACAAAAACAAGTCACCGCTGGACATCCTCAGCCGAGTGGAGCAGGCTACTGTGAGGATTCTAGACAGGTGAGTGGCCAAAAGACCAGACCCTGTGCCTCTTTCAGTCTCACACCATTACACCCAATTATATCATCTCAATTAAGTATATTCTAAACTCTCTCCCAGAGCCCCATGCCCTTTCTGGATTCAATTGAAGGCAATGTGGGGGGTCTTGCCTCTTGGGAAACCAAGCATGTAATATATTTCCTTTAAATATCACTGAAGGCCCTCTCCAAATCTAAAAGATCTTAAGCAGAGGCCTCATGAGTAAAGTTCAAGAATTCTATGAACCTCCTTCAATTTGCATAGCCAGGTATCTATATAAACATATTTTTCCTCAGGAAAGAGCCATAAAGAAACTTTAAAAAGGTGGGGGGAGAGTCAAAACGCCTGGCTTAGATTTTTCTCTACTCTAGAGAGAGTATTACCATCCTACTACCTCTGAGGGGGAAAAAACAAAACTTTTTATGCTGGGGAACATTCAAATATTTGATTTAGGTCTCTATGTAAACATTTCCTGGGGAAGGCTGGGGCTGGGGTTCAATGGTGGAACACTTGCCTGGCATGTGTGAGGCCCTGGGTTTGATCCTCAGCACCACATAAAAATAAATAAAATAAAGGTATGGTGTCCATCTACAACTAAAATTTTAATTTAGAAAACAATTTCCTGAGGAGCTATTTCAAGATACCAAACTAGGCCCTGCCATAAAGATTCTTTTTGGGGGGATGGGGTACAAGGGATTGATTTCTGGGGGAGGTACCAGGGGCACTCAACCACTGAGACACATCCCCAGTCCAATTTTGTATTTTATTTAGAGACAGGGTCTCACTGAATTGCTTAATGCCTTGCAGTTGCTGAGGCTGGCTTTGAACTTGCAATCCTCCTGCCCCAGCCTCCCAAGCTGTTAGGATTACAGGTGTGTGCCACCTTGCCCAGAACCATAAAGATTCTTATTTAGTAGGTCTTTGGGCAGGGCCCTGTTATATGCATTTTAAAAAAGCACCACCAGTGATCTTGCTATTAGCTCTGGTTGAGAAGCACTGCTGCTCTCTGAGAACTTTAGGAAGAATTCCTTCCATCACTGGCCTAGGAAAGTCATGAAGCAGAGTACCTTATTGTGGTATACCTTGAGATCAGTGACCAGAAATTGCTTGAGTACCCCGTATAAACCATCCCCCCATCACATATACATTTTGCCATCTTTTTTGACCTATGAATCATTGATTTCAACTTTTAATAAAGGAGAGCCCTAAATATCTCTCTTTGAACTTCATTTCAGATGGAGTGTGATGATCCGTGAGACTCCCAGACAAGCCCCACTGCTAAAAGGACAGGTTGAGATGGACATACCAAGATTTGAGGTAACTAATTTAAGTTACCATCTTTATTATGAGTGAAATAATAGGCAAAGTCTAGAGAGTAGCTTTGCATATCCATGGGTTTTATGAAGATGAGATCACTGATGACTGGGGGACATGTCAATCAACAACTGTTTTCTAAGAATTTGTTAGGCATTTATTTAGCCATATACTTATCTATTTATTCAAAATATTTATGGCATAAATACTATATGTTAGATACTCTTTTAGGATCTGTTTTTATATACTAGTGAGCAAAGAGAAATGATATAGAGCTTATAGGTTCATAGTCTACTTGGAAATAAATAAATAAATATATATAT